TGAATCGTAAAAAGTGAATCGAATCGTGAATCGATTGTGAATCGTGCGATTCACTAGAGATTTACTTCCAAAATTGATTCACCCATAAATTCCTATCGATTTTGCAAAAATTGCGAATCGAATCGTGAATCGAATTGCGAATCGTAAGATTTTGATAACAAAGATTTTATGTATTTGGGATGAGAGGGTGGTTTTTGAGTGTGAATCTTTAGTTGGAGAGTTTTCATTATTAAGTAGGTTCAGGAATCTAGATAATAGGGAGTGGTGGATGTCGGGGGTACATGACCCAAATTGTCCTTCTAAGAGACAGGCTTTGTGGGAGGAGTTATGTGGGTTATATGGGTTATGCTACCCCAACTGCTGTTTAGGGGGGAGGGGACTTCAATGTGGTTACGAAAGTTTCAGAAAAGCTTAATGGGAGTAGAATCAATAGGAGTATGAGAGATTTTGATGGGTATATTAGAGGATGCGAGTTGGTGGATCCTCCTTTATTTAATGCAAGATTCACATGGTCTAATCTTCGGGAAAGTCGGGTACGTTGTAGACTAGATAGATTTTTATTTTCTTTGGGTTGGGATGGGGTTTTTCCCAATGTGAGACAGGAGGTGCTTCTAAGATTAGTATCCGATCATTGCCCCATTATGATTGAGAGTTGTCCTTTTAGGTGGGGTCTGGCCGCATTTAGGTTTGAGAATATGTGATTGGGACATCATTTGTTCAAGGAGAACTTTGCGGGGTGGTGGAATAATGCTAGATGTCACAGGTGGAAGGGTTTTAGATTCATGAGAAAGCTGAAGGTCATTAAAGAGCACGTGAAGCTTTGGAATAGGGAGGTGTTTGGGAATTTGGAATCATCGAAATTTCAAGTTATGAGTAGAATTGAGGAGATAAACACTTTGGAGATGCAGGGAGGTCGAGGAATTGAGGAGAGAGAGAGGAGGGAACTAGGTGTGACGTTGGAAGAGTTGACTTTTAGAGAGCGGATTTTTTGGGCACAAAAAGCAAAGGTGAGGTGGCTAAAGGAGGGTGATGTTAGTTCGAAATTCTTTCATAGGATTGCAGATGGAAAAATGAAGAAAAAGTTCATTAAGAGGTTGGAAGTAAGGACAGCGGTAGTGGTGGACTCAAAGAAGCAAATAGTCCAAAGGATTTTTTATTTTTATTCAAAATTGTTTTCGAAGGATGAGATAGTCAAGCCTAGGATAGATGAGCTTGAGTGGAGGCCTATTGATCAGGAAAGTGCGACTTGGTTAGAAAGACCTTTTGAGGAAATGGAGATTAGGGATGCAGTTTTTAAGTGCGAGAGGGACGAGGCTCCAGGCCCAAATGGGTTTTCCATGGCTGTTTTTCAAGATTGTTGGGAGGTGGTGAAGGGGGATTTGTTGAGAGTTTTCATGGAATTTTATGAGACACGGGTGGTTAATTTATGTGCAAATGCCACATTTATCTGTTTGATTCCTAAGAGGGATGGAGCCATAAGAATTGGTGATTTTAGACCAATTAGTTTGGTGACATCACTCTATAAGATTTTGGGGAAGGTTTTGTAAAAAAGGTTGAGGGTTTCTTTAGGGGATACAATCTCTCCAACTCAAGGGGCTTTTGTAAAAGGCAGACAGATTCTAGATGTGGTTCCGGTGGTGAATGAGATGGTCGAGGAGTGTAGGAAGTCAGGAAAGAGAAGTCTTGTGTTTAAGGCAGATTTTGAGAAAGCGTACGATCATGTAGATTGGCATTTTTTGGATTTTGTGATGGATAGGAAAGGTTATGGTGAGAGATGGAGGTCCTAGATTAGGGGATGTTTGGCGTCTTGCAATATGTTGGTTATAGTCAATGGTAAACCAGGGTAGAGTTTTAAGGCATCTCGAGGGTTGAGACAGGGCAATGCTTGATCTCCTTTTCTCTTCATCATGGCAGTGAATGTGTTAGGAAGGATGGTAGATAGGGCTTCTTCTCTGAGGGGGACGAGAGCCAAATGGTTAATCTCTTTTCGGTGGTAAGGTTTTTCGGGGTGTTCTCTGGTCTCAGGGTAAATTTAGAGAAGAGTAGGGTAGCGAGTATTAATGTTAATTCAAGTTTGATTCAGAGAGTGGCTGAGTTACTTAGGTGTGGTATAGAGACATTTCCGATAAAGTATTTGAGGCTCCTGTTGAGAGGTAATCCAAGGGGTGAAGTGTTTTGGAATCCGGTTGTTTAAAAGATAGAAAAGAGGTTAGAAGGGTGGAGCAGGGCTTTACTATTCTGTGGGGGTAGGTACACTTTGGTTAAGACAGTGCTAAGTGGAATTCTAATTTATTTCATGTCTGTGTTCAAGATTCCAGTCAAGGTAGCAAAATTCATAGAAAAGTTAATGAGGGATTTTCTTTGGGAAGGGAAAGATGAAGAAAGAAAGGATCATTTGATAAAATGGGAAATGGTGTCCTTAGGGGAGTTTGGCCATTGGTAATATAGTGGCTAGAAACATGGCTTTGCTGGTGGTTATGGACATTCCCCACTGAGTGTGGTTCATTATGGCATGCAGTTATTAAAAGTATGGGCAAATTACATATACACCCCTCCAGGTTTGGTTAAATTACAGATACCCCCCTGAGGTTTCGGAAATTACATCCCGCCCCCTGATGTTTGTATTTTCATAACAATTTACCCCCTGAGGTTTATATTTCATAACAAATTACCCCCTAATTTCTTATGCAAATATAGCATTCAGGGGGGAATTCGTAATTTCTCAAACCTCAGGGGGGTATCTGTAATTTTGTCAAACCTGGAGGGGTGTATATGTAATTTGCCCTAAAAGTAAATATGGGACTCAGGTTAATGGTAGCGACTCAGGTGGTCACGAGGGGTAAGGGCATGCTCCTTGGAAATTCATTTCTCATATTTATCCAGTTTGGTCCCGATTTATTTCTGTGAGGGTGGGTAATGGGGAAAAGTTCAAATTTTGGGAGGATGTTTAGGTGGGCTCTTTGTCCTTGGCTGCGTCCTATCCACTTTTGTATAGCGTTTCTCAGTCTCATAATTGTTGTTTCGTCTGTGGCGGGTTCTTTGGTGGCTCCTTTTTCTTGGAATTTTAACTTCTGCCAGAATCTTCATGAGAGGGAAGTTCCGGAATTGGTATCTCTTTTGTCAAGGCTCGAAAATATTTCTCTGTCTCCAATTTTGGAGGATAGGTTGGTTTGGAATATTCATTTGTCGGGTTCTTTTACTTATAAATCCTTTATTGATAAAATCATTGATACTTCTCATGTACCGGAGTTTCTGTTTCATAAAAAGTTTTGGAAGGCTTGTGCTCCTCTTAAGGTGAAAGTGTTCATGTGGATCTTAGTTCATGGGGGCACTTTGACAAATGATTCATTGCAAAAGAGGAGACCTTCGCGGTATCTTAATCCTCAATGGTGCATTATGTGTTGTAAAAGTGAAAAATCTCTAGATTATCTCTTTTTGCATTACTCGGTGGCTGGTCGGTTGTGACATAGGGTGTTTGGATTGGGTAGTGTGATGTGAGTGGCCCCGAAAGGATGTGCTCAAATGCTATTACTTGATTTTCAAGTTTTTGGAAGTTCGAAGAGGGCTAAAGTGCTTTGGATTGGTGTTGTCTTTGCAATTTTCTGGGTCATTTGGTTGGAAAGAAATGTGTGTGTTTTCGAAGGAGTTTCTATGGGATAGGGTGAGATACTTGGCGTCTTTTTGGGCCTTGACGAGCTTAGTATTCCGAGTGATTCCGTTTTTTTTGCTTGCTACCGATTGGGTGTCAGTTTGTACTGTGTAGTAATAGATGTTTGTCTTTTTGTATTTTCTTTTGTCTCTTTTGGTTTTTTCCATCTTTCTTGTAGAGGATTCCTTATCCTCATTTTTCTTGGCCTTGAGCCTTAATATATCTTTGTTTGTTGCTGATCAAAAAAATAATAATAATAATAATTGTGTCACCCACAGGTTGACACGATTATTAACAGGTTATGTTAGTATTTGCATATATGACTTATTTATTAAACAGGTCATATTTTTGTTCATACTTTTGACACGCGAATTTGATATGATACTCGAACAAGACACGACACGGCACAATACCCACCCCTACTCAATTAATTTTTTTGAAAAAAATGGTCCTTAGCATGTACCAAGTGTAACACATGTCAGAAACCTGTACGTCACCTCTGAAGAGGTGTCCATGCTTCATAGGTCTTTTTTTATTAATGATCTATTAATTATTTATATCTAAGCAAAAAGTAATAAACATTCAGCATCCAACATCTTTCTAAAGTGCATAAAGAAGAGGGGGGGAAAACTGTCATGTCTCCTGTATCCCTTGAGAACAAATTAATTAAATAAAGAGACATGCCACATGGTGTGTCTCGTACGTGTATCCGCCATGTCCTCATGTTTGACACCGCTACGGCTCGTGTTTTGGGGTGTCGATGCTTCATAGCTTTTATGTCATTCAAAACCGTCTCCACGTCCAATTCCTCTCTTGTAATTTTTTTTTTTTGGTTCCAACAGACTATCCAAAAATAGAGAGCATTGTTGGAGGATGTATTGCAAAAAGCGGCTAGTTAAAATAGAGAAAACACTTTTTGGTGTACTTCACCAAAATTGCTAGCTTTGTTGGAGATGCCCTATTAGTCTTTATTCAATGTATATTTTGTATTTTTCCAAATAATTGACAATTTGGCTCAAAATTCAATTCGTTTTCTTCCCTATTTTTTTTTCTAACAGCCATTGAGTGCATAGTGGAGTAGAATTTATTTTTGTTTTTTAATTTTTCCACAATATTGTACTTTTCTTGTGGTTGATCAGTAGTATCAAAATACTTATAAAAAAAGGTAGATATCCAAACTTGAATTTGTTAAGTTTCTTTGAGTTTTCATGTAAATGTTCAGTTTTGTTAGAATTTTTTGTTCATCAGCTTGTAATCTGTGTTGGCCCATGCAATTATCAGCATGATCAAAATTGTAAAAGTTGAGTGGATATGATGTTTTTTCTTTTTTTTTTGGGTCCTCTGTACTCAGGGGAATTATAATAGTGAAATTACGACGGGGGCAGGAACTGAGGCTGAGAGCCATAGCCAGAAAAGGCATTGGCAAAGACCACGCAAAATGGTCTCCTGCAGCAACTGTTACTTTCATGTATGAGCCAGAGATTCATATCAATGAAGAATTGATGGAGACTTTGTCACTTGAGGAGAAAACAAGTTGGGTTGAAAGCAGTCCTACAAAAGTGTTTGACATTGATCCTAATACCCAGCAGGTTGGTTGAATTTTCACAATTTGCATTTTGCATTTTGTGTAACACTGTGTGTTATATATTTCCATTAACTATTAGGATTTGACATTATGTCTACAAATGCTTAAAATGTGGATTTCAATATTTTCATGTAACTGGTTGCATTGGCATTTATTAATTGACTTCTTACAGTTGTGTTTGAGGGCCATTTGTGCTGAAAAATGTGTTCATTTTTTGTATTATCTGTGTTTTATCGCTTGTAAGTTGTAACATAAATGCAATACCTCACTGGTTTTTGAGGATTGCTTGGGCAGACGAAATTTGTCTTTAGTATTGGTTCTTTTACTTTAGACATGCAAGGTAGTTTACGTTGACCAACATGGTTTATACAAGTATTCTTTCTTGGGTATCTTCATTGATTGGGGCAACCTGCATGGGCAAAGGTATTAGTGGTGGAAGCAGCATGACTATCAGTATATTTGTTGCCCGCAATAGGTTGTCAAATTATTTCCATCCATGATTTCTAAGTGGAAGAGAGGAAAGCATTATTCTATTTATCTAGGTCCTTTGGATATGTTTTTAGTCATATTTTAAATGAATATTTCAAAACTAGTCAAGCACTCGTTGCATTGCATTTGATGGATTACGTGTGTAACCTTAAAATTCATATAATACACGTTTCTTTAAAATTCATTTAACCCTTTTTTGGGTATAATCAATGTTTTATCAAATGCACATATCTTTCATGTGGGAATACACATCTTTACTTGTATACACTGTACGTGCATCTTTCCTGTGGGAATCATCTGGAAGCATTAGAGACATCTTGTTCAGCTTCTTCCTTATTCATTTGGTTTAAGATTGTTTGCCACAGCACCATGGTGAGGCTGGTCCCTTCCCTTGCATTTCTTTCATAGTGTCTGCCCATAAACAACCTGCTAGCTACAACCAGCCACCTTAATTTCTATTTGTTTCATACCACAAAGTCTTTGAGCCAAACTTTTGTTCATGTGTTGAACTACTTTTACTTTTTATATTACAGTGGTTAAATTAAGTTTTACCAAGTAATTTCCTATTGAATATCTCTGCACATGGGGCTGTTCAGTGCAGCTTACTTGATGAGCTGCTTATAGTTTTTTTATTTTACGAGTCACGTGCTAGACTGTTTGGTGCAGTTTCTGTTTATAACTTATTAGGTAAAAATAATTTAAATAAGCTGAAAAAAATTGATTACTAAAAGCTGGGTGAGGGTGGCTTTTGGTTTTTGCTTTTGGATTATCAACTTATAATTTGCAATAAGTTGCACCAAACAACACCATTACATGTCTATTTTTCGTCTTGATTGTGAGCATGGTTTGGAAAGTATACCTGCTCGATTCGGGATGTTTGATCCCCATTCTTGTAGAGTTCTCTGACATAATGTCATGGTGTATATCTTGTGAACCTAGGGCTGCATTTAGTGGTACTAGAGCTTAGGATTGCAGTGACTTTTTTGACAAAATTCCGCATGTAGGTATTCATTGCATTCCTTTGGTGGTTGTTCTACACAACACATATTTATGTTGATTTGCATCACTAACAAGCTTGCGTTGCATCAATACTCATTATAGGTTGCTGAAACATAATATTAAGTTTACACGATGATGTGTTCCATCTTTCAAAAGCATCCCATGACTTTATTGTGTCACAATCAGACTGTTGGTTTCTTTGTCCTTTTCTCCCAAAGGTTGTTGTAGTCGATCCTGAGGCATACACGTATGATGATGAAGTGATCAAGAAAGCAGAGGCAATGGGTAAGCCAGGACTCGTTGAGATCTATGCCAAAGAAGACAGTTTTATATTCACAGTGGAATCTACTGGCGCAATCAAAGCTTCTCAATTGTTGCTTAATGCAATAGAAGTCCTCAAACAAAAGCTGGATGCCGTTCGCCTTTCAGAGGATACTGTAGAAGCTGATGAACAGTTCGGTGAGCTGGGTGCACATATGCGTGGAGGATGATTGCTTTGTTATTCCAGATTTGTCAAGGCGATTTCCTTGGATTTTGAGGAAGTCAATTTCTTCCTTTCTCTTTATGAGACATGCTTTATCCAGATATCTCCCTGCAAATCGTTGATAAATATTATGGATATTAGTCGTATCATCTGTATGTATGCCAACTTTCGTCGTTGAACTTGTTGAGTTGCCGATGTTACGTACTGTTGAATTTAACCTGTAAGAAGTGCATTTAAACTAGCATTTTATGAATTTAGAACTGTTAGTTGAGGTGAAGTCTTACTTGGAGCTTATGTTGTTTGGAGTTGTTCTGACACTTTTATGCAGTTTTCTTTACCATTTTTGTTGGTCTGCTGATTCGGTTGTTTTCTAAACCTTCTCCATTTATGATGTTATCGTCTTATGCTGCATGGAGGCAAATTCGCTTGTGTTGTATTTTATAATGGAATGCAGCTTCATTGGCATGTGGACAGAGTCTAGTTTGGTTTGGTTTGGTTTGGTTTGGTTTCAACACAATTCCAGATGACCTCTAGGATGGCATGTGAGCTTGATTTCAGCTTTGTTGCAGAAATCTTGTATAATAGGTGAAATTCTCTTCTGGAACTGAAATTTGCAAGCCCTACATTACGATCAATTTATAGAACTCAATTCTTTTTTATAGTGTTCCATGGGAGAGAGTCCTTTTTCCTGCACTCGACAGTCTTTGATAAATACTAGTTTGAATGGAGATATACTGTATGCCCTCAATAGTTGTATGGTGTTTGATGGGTTTTTTTGGGGACATTATGTTTGGCATATTTTGGTGAATAAGATTTCAATAAATTGATTCATTGAGTGTGCCTGGATTGCCTAGTTGTAAACTTTGCCATTGTGTTTGATATTAGATGTGGATTGAATGCTTGACTGAAAAATGAGGCGGATTGCTACTAATTCTGGGAAGAACCAAAATTCCTGATTTGAAATTGCTGCAGTGTTTATTGGTTTTTTTTTTTTTTTTTTTTTTTTTTTTTTTTTTTTTATATTAGAGAGAATATTTTAATGGTTACCTGTTTTTGTTGATTGATGGTGGTGGTGATGGGTCTCTTTGTATTTAGGAGTGTGTGACAGCTCTGGTGTAAATCCTAGTTAATTGTTATTGTTATTGGCCTTGGCCTTGAATGCAATATATCTCTAATTTAATTTCAGAAACTATATTAAAGGCCCTTGTAGTTTTTAATTTTTCATATCAATATCACTTCTTTCATTTTGTGGTTCACTTGGTGGTGTAGTGTTGAACCCATAATGGTGCATCATTCAACAAAAGGACTGAGAGCTGCAGGAACCAATGAATGCATGGTTGGGTCGTCACATGCATGGAAAGTCACGGGTTCCCTTTTTGTAGGAATGGATGTGGGCCCAGCTCTCTATCCTCTGCCTTGGTAAGTTCTATCTTCTACACCAATGTATGAAAAATGAATTCATTCACTCTTTTGGAGTCAATGGTCTAAAATAATAGATTTTTATATTATATTTTTTATTGGGGTAGAAATAGGAACTGCATTAGATAAAGTTGAAGAGATGAATACATAATTCTGGGATAACTGATTCCTCTAGCATCATCATACAGATGGGTTACAATACATTGAGGACAATGATGAAAAATGTGCAATCCATCTGATAATTGAAGACCAAAAAATTTGCAAGAGTGACGATTTAAAATGTACGAATATGTAAATAGAAATAATAAAATGACATTTGTTAATAATTGAGGGGCTTTAATGCAGCTAACCTTTTTTATATATAGAAAAGGGTATATGATGAATTCAAACTAATCGTTTGGATTGATGGTTTGGGAGGGGAAGTGAAGGATTTAGAGGGATAAAGTTAGTTAAATTATGTTTGGATTCTTTTATAAGAGGGAAAGGGATGGAGGGATTACGAGGGAGAGTGAGTACAAGTATTTTTAAGCACTATACTTCCCTCCAAAATTGAAAAGAAATGGAAATAAAGTGAAGTGTTTCTTATAATAATATATTAAAATGTCTAATTAAAATGGAAAAGATTAGGGTACACATCCCTCAAAGGGTGTGTACCGTATGCATTTTATATATAAAGAAGAAAATGATATAATTTTATACTTTTTGAGTTATAACTTAAAAAAAAATGTCATAATCAAACAACACATGAGACATAATTAAAAATTTCATGAGTCATAACTAAAGAAGAAAATTGATCATAACTAAAGAAAAAAATGACATAATTTAAGGACGCATATAGTAAGGAATGTGTATAGTAGAATTTTCCTATTAAATTTTCTCTCCATAATTAACTATTGTCTAACCAAACAAGAGAGACAAGACTTTTCCCCTCCTTTCCTTCTCTTTCCTTTCTTTCCCCTCACAACTAACTCTTCCCTTCATTTTCCTTTCCCTCAATCCAAACAAAGTATATTGTAATGTGTTTTTTAAGTTCACCTTTTCAGCATTTAGTTTAGAGGAAATAACATTTGTTTTGTCACTATCTATCAACCATAATACCCTATATCTGTATTCTTTACCAAATTAGGTGCTTTGGCTCATTCATGTAGTATTTCTCCAACTCTTTGGCTCTGTTACGTACCCTACTGTACTTATATCATATTTGTTGTGTCCAATTTGTTGGCACTACCAAATGCCTGTCTTATCAAGCCAGTTGGCTGGCTATGGCAAGTGAAAAAGCCATCTTTGCTGTGTTGTGGTCTCTCCATGTAAATTATTGACATTAATATTGCTTCTTGATTACCCAATTGTTACCAAACACTAGGGATGGAAACAGGTTGGGTTGGGTATGAGTCAGGAACCCCTATCCTTGCCCTACCCCTGCTTAGTGAACATTTTCCCATTCCCGTTCCAACCCGATAGATCACTCCCCCACCTTAGTTCGCTACACATTAGTAAAGCCTTGTTTGGCATAACCTATTTTAGTCCATCTTTTTATCTTTTTTGGATGACATCAATCAACATCTTATCTTTACTTTTCTACACATCTTTTTATAGAAAGTCAAAAAGTATACTTATTTAGGACATCTTAATATAGCTCCGTCCAGTCTTGTTTAGTTTTACAACTTTTCCCCACCCTAACCCGAACGAACGCAAATGCAATCGGGTTGTGTTTTTCCACACCTAAACTTGATTCTACTCTACTAAGAAATCCCTCAAAAACCCATTCCAACAAGGTGGGGAAGGGTTGGGGTTGGAGTTGGAGTTTTTTTTCCATTCCTACCAAACACCCCCTTTTTCTTGAGAATTTATTCTAGATTTTAGATTCCTTGAAACTGACCACTTTATAAGAACAAGGAATTGACAATTTGACAGGTAAATTAAGCATTTTTCCTATTTTGGTTCATTGGAATGACGCAGCTTAGAATGTTTATTCAATCATAATGTTCATTCTCACATTTTGTTTACTAAAAAACTGATTAAAAAAAATACAAACAAACTCATTATGCATCTTATTCTAAGAGAATAGTAAAACTATACAAGAAAATTAATGAATAATTTTTATTGATGTGATGTGACGTAACTTCTCATTCCTTTATGTATTTACTATTGGTTAGTATTATTTTATTTTTTAAAATTTTTATAAAAAAATGGTGACAATGTAGGTTGGGCCATTGTAGCCTGTCAAAAAGATACCCAGATCTTTGCCTGAGAAGCAGACATGCTGCTAACAGGATGGCAACCAAGTTTCAACAGATTGGGGGACACATACTTATACATATACATTTATTATATATGTGGCTGAGTCATCTGTGAAAACACCAAAAACTTATCGTCCTTTTCTTTCTGACCCATTGGAAAGGGACTCTAAAGGGGGGCCCTAAAAGGGCAGCCTGCAGAGGCTGAGCAGCCATAAATTTTTCACTAAAAAACAAGAGCTAATGACCAAAGAGAGTAAGTAATATGAGCCCCATCTACCAACCTCAGGACCACCCTCTCGCTCTCCTCTCTCTACCCTACTCCATCACTATACTCTTCCCATACTAATTAGTGTCACTAATGATGTAGCAGTGGATCTACCCACTATCACAGTGTTACTGTGTTTGTTTTTTTTTTTTAAAAAAAAATGGATGCCACATCATTAGTGGTTACTTTAAAACACCACTTTTAGTAGTCTCTATCATTGCCCTTCATTATTCTATCGGTAATGATACATCCCACTAAAAGTGGTGCTCTAAAGCACCACTAATGGTTGGCAAGCACTTTAAATAAAAAAACTAATGAGTTGGCAAGCACTTTAAAAAAAAAAAAAAAAAAACAAGACACAAGCAGTAGGTCCCGTCCACTGCCACATCACTAATGGTGCTTTTAGAGCACCACTTTAAGTGGTCTCAAGCATTATTGTTATTCTATATATTCAAATTCAATGTCTCGTCCCATTCTCCTTAAACATTCTCTTTCTTAATTTTGTATGTCAAGTTAGACAGTTTTGGGCACATTAGTGTGTCTCTCTTAATTGTTCCCCCAGTGGGATATTTTGGAATTTATGGTCTTCCTTGTGTAATTTATAGGTTATAAAAGATCTAATAATTTAAAGTAGTTATAATTTTTATGAACATGTGTTGGGTGCTCAAAGCTTCCTTGTGAGGTAGATAAGTTGAATTAATATTTGGCCCTTGATAGGGCTTGAGCTTGGCCTATGGATGGTCTAGATTGGACAAAGGCTCAACCTTCCACCAATTCCTACAGTAATTGCTGAAGTTAGGGTTTTGGGGAACTTTATTCTCCCATGTAGGTCAACTTTAACATTGCAAAGAAAGGGCAGCCCATGAGGCTTCTCTATTTTATTTTTAATAATTATTTTTACATTTTTATAATTGTATGTAATTTGTTTTTTCATGCAAAGAGACTATTTTTCTGTTCTAACTCAGGACACTCAAATGTTTCACACACGCCTTCGAAGGTTCGAACAATTGATATGAATGTATTGATTGACAAGTTGGACCACATACATATATACACACCAATTGTTCCTTCTATCTTTTAAAATAGCTTCATTAAAGATATCAGTGAATTCTATCACACATAACCTCATCAAGATAGATTAATGCAGTAGATAGTATATAGTACAAACTACATAAATTGTGTTATGTTGCCACAGAATGCCAGATTTTTGTGTTCAACTTTATCTGAGAGGCTTCAATTCTTTGAAGAATTTTATTCTCTACAATGCAATATGGTTTAAATTTTTGGCATTGCAAAAGAAGAGAATGGTGACCACATTCGAATGAGATCGATCCAAAACATACTTTGGATACCGATTGAGCGGTAGTGTGTATCGATAGGTCTGTAGACAAAGGGAGACAATATCATTTGTACCCGATTGTCCTCAAAATTCTTTTTCCTCTGTTTTTAGTGCATTCTTAGTTGCTTGAGGCACAATCGTGCAGCTGAGAGTGGATTGAGACAACGGTTCCATTTATTTTCAGAGTTAGAATGGAGGGATTCATAATGAGGAGATTAATAGTGAGAGAATTGTTAGTGAGCAGATTAAGTAAAATTGTGTTTGTTTTGATGATAGTTATTGTGTATGGATTGTTAAAATTATTTTTATATAAAATAATAAAACAAATAAAAAAATACAAAAATATTAAACATTAATGTTTAAAAAAAAAAAATGTCCAACATGTAAAAAAATAAAAATAAAAAATAGTCTAACGGACTATTTTTCTAATACCACCTCCACTTCAATCTCCCGTCTAAGGCCTATCCTAATACCAAAGGATTATGAGTCCCTTTCCCATTTTTCAAACAAACATAACATTATAGTGGGTCCCACCTCACTATCAATTCTAATCTCCTCTCCATAACCCCCAACAAACAAGGCCAACGGGACATGAATTTTTAGATGGACAATCCTGCGCCTGTTGTTTGTTCGATATTCATTATTGGATCCATTCCTTAAAAACTTTAGCTTTTGATACGATTAATAACTTAAAACCCGAGCACTAGTCTCAAGAAATCTTGGGTTCAAGTATTATCGCCCTGTTATCTTTTTCATTGTGAATTTTATTTTGTTTATTTTCGTGCACCTTATTCTTAGTCTGTTAACTTGATATATAGATATATATATATATATATATATTTTGTTAAGTCTATTTCATAATGGTTAAAATTTTGGAGATAATTGATAACTTAAGAAAGGAATGGTGGACTTGGTTCAATTATTTTGACTCACGCAGAGGGTGTGAAATGGAAGCAAGGTGACAGTTAATTGATCAGAGGCGGGATTCACAGTATCAGAGGTGGTGGTGGGTGCCTCAGCTGCCAGTAACCTTAGTGGATCTCTGGGGGCCATATGGATATTGGGGGGTGGTCCTATGACCTCTGTGAGCCAAAGACATTAGCAACAGTTGGTCAAGTATCTAAGTACTTAAATTAATTACTAGGTTACAACATTAAATTGGTACCATAACTATTACTTCCTCCAAATGTAAGAAAGTAAAACTACTAATGACTCAACTTATGATAATATATATACATCTATATTTTCTTATTAGGATTGTAAATGTGTTGTGCTGAATTGAATTTTGGAGTGTTCAAGTTTAACTAGCTGAACATTAGTGGAATTTGAGCTCAAGCTAAGCTGAAGTTTATGTCGAACATATATAAATGATCTAAACTTTGAGCTCTAGGTCAAACAAAAGGAAAAATTAACCTACATTAAATTGAAATTAAGGGATAGGGAATTGCATTAAATTTTGTTGTTTTGCATGACTTAACACCCCTTGTATATATATATGCACAGAACTTACAATCTTAAAAGCCACACCAACACTAACAGGTATTTTGACTAACAAAAGTACATAAAAAAGTATATCTGCATTTTACTCAATCATTTTGCTTAGGGTGTACTCTAATAACGTTCTTATTATTGAAATTGATTTTTTTAGGTTTTAAGACTCTCCAGATGAACTTCCAAGAGAGGATAGAGCAAAATGTATAATGGATTGCATATCGTATTACAACTCCACTCTATGATGATAAGGTTAAGCAAAATGTCTTAACTGCTCCGATTGCCTTAAACTTTTTTTTTTTTTTTTTGATACCCAAAACACTCCAAGACAAGTCTCTTAGGATCTATCCGTACAAACTAAATTGGGAGAAACTAGCCGATCCACCTATACCATCTGACTTTCACTTAAGTAATAGGGGATTCGAACCCTTGTCAGTAAGGAGAAGAGCATACTCTCTTGTCAATTAGGATGGCCCTTAGTGGTGATCACCTTAAACTTACAACCACTAATGCTGTGTTGTGCCCTTAGTAGAAGCAGCATAGACCTCACATCTTATCATTAATAAATTATTAGATGTCAATGATTAATTTTTGTAAAAATTAAACACCTATGCCAAAACTCTATTTATGTGTATATGTAGAATTATTACAAATGAAAAGAATTACGTTGTGCTTGGTTGGAGGATTTAAAAAGAGAAAAGAAAAATGTAAATAAAATATGAATAAAATATATTTACATTTCACATAATTTCATATATATATTTTTTTCTCTTCCTAAATTTCTTCACAGATTCTACCATCAAACACATCTTAGACACTCAAATGTCAATCAAGAAGAAACAAGGTCAGTTTCTGATTAATTGTAAAACAAGAGCTAAAAAGCCTAAAAATGGCAGAGGCTACTGAAGTAGTGACAAAGGTATGGTTGGTGCACTTTCCATGAATGTGTTTCTACTTTCCCATCTTCAACTCTGGCTTGGTATAGGCACTTTGTTTTAGACTTCAGAGGAGAGAGGAGAGAGGCCCACTTTCCTCTCATTTGCTGTGATTTCAGCTTTACAGCTGTGAGCAAGAAAATAGTATAGGATGAAAAAGAAAAATTGCATGGAGGGGTTTTTACTTTTTAGCCCATATTTTGAATTCTTGTGCTTTATTAATGAGTCAATAACAAGGAATAAGAGGGAGAGAGAGAGAGAGAGAAGGGTCAAAAAGAAAGTTGAAGATGATTAAACTATAGTCCCCTCTCCCCCCAGCCCATCATATTATTCTACAATTATTGGTGTGGGGAGACAACACACAATACACACATCTGACCTCATGATCTCTCTTCTCTCTGTCACTCATAATTCATGAAGTATGAGTCATGATCACTATTAGCACGCATCACCCATTTATTCAATGGCTTGTTTGCTGTAATTTAAATAAGTTTTATTTTAATTTAAAAGTTTGTATTACACTATTTAGAATAATTTTTATTTATAACTTAAATGAAATTACATTTCAGTCACTCTTTCAGAAAATAATTATAAATTCATTGAAAAGTTTATAACTTCAATTATTAATATTCATAAAGTTTACCATTTATCTAAAATTATTTTTAAATATAATTTAATATACAAAAAAAACTTAAATAAATTTAGAAAATTAATTATTTAAAAGTTCAAAAAAGAGTGCTTTTGAACTTTACTTTCTAATTATTAACTGTTAATTTATAATGAGTTACACTAAACATACTACACTATTTATATTTTGACACTTATTTTAGGACTTTTCTTAAGCGTGCAACTTACGCCTTCCATTTACGTCTTTTCTGTTGCTGTCCTGTTTAATGTTTATATCTTCTATTTACGCCTTTTGTGTTAGTGGCATATGGTGTGCAACCTTAAAGGGTTGCACACCATAACAGGACCCCTTATTTTATTATCTTTTAAAAATCAACCTTGCTATGAATCCTAACCCTATAAATAAATAAAATTAAAAATATTACATACACTTGCACTAGCACTAGAAACCCCACATAATATTTTTTATCAAATGTCTCGCATAAATGTAAGATCTACATAATATAAATCTTACACTCACATAAAATATTAATAAAACATTTAAAATTCCTATTATTTTTCATAATTTTTCCTAAGCGAAGAACAGAAGTGGGGCCCATGGGGACATCTTCCACAAATTCAAAGATTTTTGTCTCCCAATTTCAAAATCTCCCACCTTTTGCCTTCCTACCTTTTATGGGTCGTGGATTGCTCACCAAATCCCATTCTAACAATAAATTATTATCATTTTAATAATTAAATATTAATAAAACAGTAATATTATGTATCAATATTTTAGTTTAAAAAAATATCATACATTTTGATAGTAGAAGACTATCCTTTTGAATTAATAAGAGACGAAATGTCTACATAATCTGATTTTGATAACATGACGAAATGTTTATGTTTCTATATATTTTTACATTTTTATTATATTTTTTTGCATGTTTACTAAAATTAGTGACAATCTTATAGATGGTATTAACATTTTGAGTAAATCTAAATACAAAAAAATAAAAAATTGACAGAATAAAATATAAATGTGAGGTGAATGTGAATGTGAATTACGAATTCCACATGTAAACTTGGATCTCATTTTTCTATCTCATATTGTTCTTTATTATGTGACAAATATAAGATAGGTAAATATGTCTAATATTTAGCTATCATATATGCTTGCTTACTTGTTGAGAGGTTAATTGGACATATTACATAAGTGTGATGTTAATACAATTTAAATGCAAAGTTCATAGAATTGATACAAATTTAAAGGACACATGGACAAATAAGAAAATGATGACTGGGCAATATAATAGATGGCAGATAATAATTGAATATACTTTCCGAGTTGTTTTTGGGTAAATTACACTGACATCCTCTGATATTTCTATTTAATACATATTTCTCTCTTATATTTGAAAAATTATATTTCCCTCCCTGAGATTTGTAATCTCATTACAAATTGCCTCATGGATTGCTGATATCATACCCTAATTTTTTTTAAATGACCATTTTGCCCTTTTTGAGTTTTAATTTATATTTTTGTATTTTTAATAATTTTTAAAATATTTTAATTTTTTAAAACTTTTGAGATCAATTTTATCTAGATATATTTAAAAAATATAAAATTTTTGCAAATTTTTTTTTAAAAATCTATTGGATATAACAAAATAAGATAGAAAAAATTAGTCTAAGGTCCCTCTCCCACTTTTAATAATGGAAGAGATCCACAATATTTTTTATGATGTCTAAAGTCCTTCAACCCCAAACTCATATATCACAGAGAAATTTAAGAAGAAACGAAAGGGCTTCAAAAACTGAGTTTGGTCTCTCTATTCTCACTCTTTGCTCTCTCTTTCTCTCCTACATCAACCCCAAACCCTAGTTTCTTCCTTCATCCTCGTGAGCTTTCTCAGAGCTATCAGACCTTGTTCTTGGTCAAACACGTCCAGACTCTTGAGCTTCACAATGAACTCTTTGTCCTCAAAGATCGAATTAGGATTTAGCGTTTCATTAGCAGCGATCTCTGATGAATTCAAAGTAGACGATGGCGAGAAACACATCGGCCGAGCCATGAATGGAAGCAGAGGAGTCGATTGAACGTTCGCGATCACCGATTCCTTAGAACTCGACGAGTAGAAATGGTTCGCTCGGTGATTCAACTCAGTCGTCGCGTACAAGAACAAAACATGTGAATTCTCAGCGACGCCCTTCAACAACTCCCTCTCAAAAACCCTGATTTTCGAATCATTGTCGTCTTCTCTCGTAGAAGCCATTAACCCATGAACCGTGGTCTCGACGGAGCTGTAATTCGGTAACCGAGGGTGTTCGGTACGGGAGGAGTCCCACCAGTTAAGAATCGTCGATTTGAGATTCAAATTGGGGATGACAATGAAGAAATCACGGTTAGAGTCGTCAAGAAGTAGAGGAGCAAAACCTAGGTGTCTGCAGACTTGTACGCACATGCTCTCAAAGGTTTGGCCTGAAGAGGCGACAACTGGATCGAACATTAAGGAACCAGAAATGGGACAGACATACTCTGTGGGAGGTTCCTTGTGCTCGGACTTGGACTTGGACTTGGAAGACGATGGTGATGGCGATGGTGATCTGTATATAGAGATTTTCCACTTGTGAAGCTTGCCATTACCACCCATCTCTCTATATAGTACACAAGCTTTGTGGATCTAGAAGGTAAAATTGGAGGTGGAATTCATGGAGATAGGTGATAAAGCTCCGATTTTCAGGGGAAAATTATAGGAAGATTATTTGAATTTATCAATTGTTATGAAGATAAGAAGTGTGAGCTACCGGGCTGGTGGTCTAGCAGGTGGTGTTTCCATAGAAACCACTGTCTCTGGTGGTGGATGATTCATATTTTATGAGGAATTGAAGAAGCATAGGTAGATGATTGAATTGGAGAAGTAAAGGATGCAATTCGCTAAACATTTGGAGGTTAAGAGGATGCAGCTGTTCATGGATACTCAGGTTCAGCTTGAGAAGATCAAGCAAGCTAAGTGGTCGAATTCGAATGGTGACAGAAAATGGAATTTCTGAGTTGTGAATTTCTCTGGGTTGAGTGATATGGAAAGGGGGAATTTCTCTGATTTGAGTGAATTTCTCTGGGTTGGTGAGGAAAATTTCTTTGGCTTTGAGAAAAAATTTCTGGGTTGAAGTGAGTCTAGAGAAATTCTTCCCTGGTCCAGAGAAATTCTCAACTCAGAGAAATTTCAAAAGAGCTGAATTTTGTTTCTAGCATGCTGCTCAGGCGTCTGACCATCCTTGGAAATACCGGCTTCAAAACTACCAGTGGTGGAGTTGATGAAATCACGATGGCCAGGAGCATTAATGACAATGTAGTAGTTATAGCGACCCCGGGTCTCTACCCGACTGTCATGGTATTCAGGATCCAAATCTTGTTGTTTGATGTTGCTGGTTATGTCTTTCTTCCTTATATCTCTTGAATTTGAGTTTTGGAATGACTTGAGCGTGTTTAGAACAGGTTGGTTGCCTTACGGTCTAGAATCTTGTTGTCCAAATTCTCGGTCTTCCGCTCGAGCGGAGTTTGTAACCTTTCAGCATCGAGTGCCTCTGCAAAAGTGCTCCAAGAGTGTTTTTCATGCTTGAGCGTGTCGGAGCTCGAGCGGCCCTTCTGGTGTTTGAGCGGCTGTCTGCAATCGGTGAAATACTGGGCGGGTGAAATCTACGCTCGAGCGGGATGTTGTTGCTGTGTCTAACGCTTGAGTGTGAAACCCTACGCTCGAGCGGGATTCGCGTATATCAGATCGTAAAGGCGACTTTTTACATAACTTTTTCATCCAAACCCTAATTTGAGAGCTTCTCTCTCTAGAAATACCCCTCTCTCTCTATATTTGACCTAGATCTAGTGATCTTCTCATCCCCCTTCCTTAGACAAAAAGATTGGGCTCCTCAAGATCTTTATTTCCATCCAAGAAGAAGTGAGTTTTGCCATTTTTGGAAGCTTCACCTTTGCCTAACCCTTCTCCTTGGGCTTCTACTTTGAGGTAGGGATATTCTTGAGTTATATATACTAGTTTTTCCTTTCTTATGATGATTTAAGAGTTCCTTTTAATTTGTGATGATATTAACCTTGTGATTTCAAAATGTAAAGGTTTTCCTCAAAAGAGGGTTTCTCTTTTAACTCTAAATTTTTGGTCAATCCTCGAGGATTCATCTTGTTGACCTAAGAAAAGAAATGTTTTGAATGAGAGTTTTCACCATGAAATGGGAAGTGATTGTTTTGAGAAAAACCCTACAAATTGGGGATTTTGGTAATATGGCAAATATCTTTGAAATTTCTTATTGTCTTGTTTTAAAAAGATGAAGAGAGTGAGTTGCATCCATGTTTGGCAAATTGGAAAATTTCTTGTTATATGAAAACGAGGTGTAAATGTTAAATTGTTGACAATACATAAATGCGCCAGGTTGTGGCAAAACAAATTTGTTATGTCTTGTGATATGAAAATTGTGACTACGTGTTGATGAAATATATTAATCATGTGGATGAACATTGAAAAGAGAAGATGAGAATATGAATGCTGACATTGTAACAGAGATACTCAAAAGGAGAGAAATGTCTTAAGATGTGGAAAGGATCATTTGCATTGCATATTATTTCATTTATTATAGTGCATTGTGAATCTAAATCATTGAGATTTCTATCATGAGGAAAGGAAATAGTTATTGTGTTGAGACCTATGAAAATGTGTAAGGGGTAAATACGTTGATAAGTCCGGATAGGAGGTGTAGATGAATTTGATAAGTTGGCCTGAGTGTCCAAGGTGAAAGACTCGAAAGCCACACAGATAGGTGTCGAGCCTTTCGGTTAATACTGGTAAAAATGACAGTTTGGTAGTACTTGTAGAGTCTACTTGCAGACATCAGCCTAAGGATTACCAGTGTCGTATTTACCGACCCTAGTGATTAATGATTGGAAATTTTGATAAAACTGTTGAGATTGTAAATAATTGTTGAAAAGATTGAAACCTTTAAATGTGCATGAAATGGACTTTTTATAAGGATGCATGGCGTAGCATTAACAATTGCATTGTTTTTTTTAAAGAGTATGCATAACTGTATATACTTTGTAAGAATTCTCTACTGGGCTCTGTGCTCACCCCTATGGGATTTGGTGCAGGTAAAGATGTGGTGATCCCGCAGAACTGAGGGCGTGGATATTTTTGAGAAGAATACATAGCTCTTTTATTTTATGTAATTCTTTTGAGCCAAGGGCTAATGTGTATGGGTTGCATAAATCATTTTTTTGTGTAACCAGGCTTATGCCTTGGAAGATGTAAGCCCTTAAGGGCATTGTATTGTTTTTGAGAATGGATGCTTTACATGCTATAGATTCATATGTTTGTGTTGATGAATGTATACTCGCATGTAAAACCCTTGTAAAGACTTATTAGTGATTATGTAAAGATGGGCAGATTATTGTTATTGTTGGGTAAATGTTGATTATTTATGGGTAGTTCATGTTGAATTATTGCGGGCGTTACAATAGTATTTGGTGGTCTCAAACTTCTACAAAGCAATATCAATATACACAGAGAAAATTATGAACAAATCATAGAGATATTTGTAAGCAAATTAGAGAAAATTCAACCCCTGAGAAATTTCAAAGCAAAGAAAACAAAAAAATTAAACAAACCAGAGAAATGGTTTGAAATTTCTCTAGATGGAAATTTCTCTGGGTCGACTGCAGCAGAGGCGTTGGTGAAGTTGGCATTGATAGAGAGAGATTTGTTGATAGAGTTTAAGGTGTCTTGTTTGAAGACAGTTGATGTTAGAAATTTTGATAAGGTTTGAATTCATTTTGAGTTTTTAGATTACGGATTTGGTTACTTGAAATTGTGGATTGAAATTGAATATGTGATTTGATCAGAGTGGGAGAATGTGATTTGGCCAGAGAAAATCAACAAATTTCTCTGGCCATCACACAGAGAAAATTAGCACAGAAAAGTAACAGACACAATTTTCTCTGGTTTGGTTAAAACATAGAGAAAATTATAAGTAAATTAGAGAATCTCAGTCAAATACACAGAGATAATTGAGAACAAATCACAGAGTTATTTGTGAGCAAATTAGAGAAAATTCAACCCTAGAGAAATTTCAAAACATAGAAAATCAAAAAAATTAAACAAACCATAATTTGAAATTTATCTGGATTGAAATTTCTCTGGATCAATTTGAAGGACCTTAGACATTATGAAAATATTGAATGTCTTTTATACTATAAAATCTTAATATCAGGGACCCTAAAAAAAATCCCCCAATAAGATAATGTACTGAATTTTTATATATATATATATCTATATATATATATATATATTTGTATTTGGTGAATTTAAAAAATCACAAAATATTATATTTCTTAAGTATATCTAGATTAGATGTATCTAAAAAATAAAATAAAAATGCTTAAAATATTAAAAAAACTTCAGTAAAAAAAAAATAGTATACAAAATAAAGATAAAAACTCAATTTTTATGTGAGTTAAACTAAAAAAAAATGATTGCTATTTCTTTTCAAATGATATGAACAAAATATCTATATTATTTTATTATTTTATAGGTATAAAGGCTAAGAGACAAATATGTCATTTTAATCGGACAGGGGGTAAGTATAATTTTTTAAATGTGAAGATGAGATCTAAATTAAACAGAAATCTCAAGAATGTCAATAATTAAACTCTTTTTTTTTAAAAGGATAGACGAACCTACCTTGAGAAATCAAATAAAAATAAGGGTGAATCAATTTATATTTAATATAGATTCTTCCTCACTTTTAATAGAGAAAATTCAACCACTGAGAAATTTCAAAGCAAAGAAAACAAAAAAATTGAACAAACCAGAGAAATGGTTTGAAATTTCTCTAGATGGAAATTTCTCTGGGTCGACTGCAGCAAAGGCGTTGGTGAAGTTGGCATTGATGGAGAGAGATTTGTTGATAGAGTTTAAGGTGTCTTGTTTGAAGATAGTTGATGTTAGAAATCTTGATAAGGTTTGAATTCATTTTGAGTTTTTAGATTACGAATTTGGTTACTTGAAATTGTGGATTGAAATTGAATATGTGATTTGATCACAGTGGGAGAATGTGATTTGGCCAGAGAAAATCAACAAATTTCTCTGGCCATCACACAGAGAAAATTAGCACAGAAAAGTAACAGACACAATTTTCTCTGGTTTGGTTAAAACATAGAGAAAATTATAAGTAAATTAGAGAATCTCAGTCAAATACACAGAGAAAATTGTGAACAAATCACAGAGTTATTTGTGTGCAAATTAGAGAAAATTCAACCCTAGAGAAATTTCAAAACATAGAAAATCAAAAAAATTAAACAAACCAGAGAAATTTCAAATTTCTCTGGTTTGAAATTTCTTTGGATGGAAATTTCTCTGGTTTGAAATTTATCTGGGTTGAAATTTCTCTGGATCAATTTGAAGGACCTTAGACATTATGAAAATATTGAATGTCTTTTATGCTATAAAATCTTAATATCAGGGACCCTAAAAAAAATCTCCCAATAAGATAATGTACTGAATTTTTATATATCTATATATATATATATATTTGTATTTGGTGAATTTAAAAAATCACAAAATATTATATTTCTTAAGTATATCTAGATTAG